TCTGTGTTTAATGTTGATAAGACAGAAATCTACTCTTCTTATTATGAATTCCTAAATGGAAAGTTTTGATTTATTGATTACCAGTCTTAGTGCAGATATTGATATGTATATAACTACTGTTAAGTTGAAGGACTGTAGTTTGATGTTTTTAAAAAAATAATTTCATACTAAGGATTCACTTGGTATTGTTTGTTTGAATCTTTCCATTGATGTTTAAGACTGCAACTGATCAGTCTCTTATTGGCATATGTGCATACTGTGCGTATTGCCTCGATATAGTCTTAATTCACAAGCATTACCAAGTGAATTTAAACTTCACTCCATTGCACAAGCAAGTGGTTATCAGGACACAGTAGCATTTAAATCTCCCATCAGAATGGTCAGGTCCTTTGCTGGGCACTTCTCGACGATTGACTGCAGCCTATCGTAGAATTGATCTTTAACGTCTTCATTGTAATCATTGGTTGGCGTATAGCATTAGATGACGTTCGTTGTAATGCCTTCTTTATTTGTTTTGAATCAGGCTTTGATGATCCCTGGTTCATGAGATTCCCACCCATTAAGTGCATTTTGTGCTTGATTGGACAGCATCATTGCAACGCTGTGTATATAATGGGCATTTTATTTTTCACGGCCAGAGTATAACAGAAGCTTCCTTGAAGCTAGTCATTGTTGTCCAACCTGCGTCCATTGAATTTCTCTGATTCCAAGCACTTCCAGGTTGTACCTTTTCATTTCCGCAGCAACTTGGATGGCTCTGCTGGTCTCCAACATTGTACGAACATTCCATGTACCTAAATTAATGGTTGCTCTTATTGTCAGAAGAGGCATCGGCTTCATGACCTCCGAAAGAACTCGGCTTTCACCATGAGGCGTCATATTTATTATTTCAACTCTCAGTGCAGGGTTTAAAAATGCGTTGAATAATATTTTCTCCTTAGTGTTTTGTTAACAAGTTAGTTCTCTACGGGATGGGGTCTCTTACTTCATGCCCAACCCTCCTCTTTTGTGTGGGCTTGGGACCTGCAGTAGCCCTCAGTGGAGCTACAGGCGAAGTTAAATATTAGTCCTTAGGATGCGCTTATTATTGTTCACACATTTTCATACTAATTGCATCCTATTCCCGTTTTCTTCTTATCAATCTTCTACTGAAATACATTCAATGCCTGACCATAGTTATATACTACTTGTATAGATATAAGTAACCCACACCATATTAGGATACACATATCCTATCCATTGCCAATTGAAACTATATATAAACTTTAAACTCTTAATAAAATTTTAATTTCAGTTCATTATATTGATACAAAGTTTTGATTCCATTCATTATAAGCCTCTTCTCTTTTTTTTTTTTGTTTTTCATATTCACTTCGTTTATACACTCAAAATATTTCATCAGTCATAAATAAAAATTAACTTAATCTCTTGTTTTAATCTACTATGATTGTTATTATTCAATGTTCAATTTTGTTTGTTTTATTTGAATAAACAACATGTTACCTTCATTGATCTCAGAAAACAATTGTCTATTATAGACTAATATGATATATTGTACAAGAAAAACATACAAACAAGCAATATGTATATACGGTTGAATTATTCTAAATGGAAAGGATTTCTTTTCTATACAAGTAGAATATACCAGATTTTCTTTGTTTTATTATTGTATAGTATATATAGTATTGTAATTTAATTGTGTGAGGTTGTAGTGTAGTGCTTCGTTAATCGATTGTCTTGATAACTGTTATTATAACAATCTGAACAGTGTATAATATCAGAAGACAAAGGGAAGCAGCAACTACATTTTTATTGATAAATAACATGGGCTAAAAGGCAGTGAGCACATGAGTAAATATTAGCGAGCGAAGAAAAAGTAACATACATGGGGAGATGGCTAGTAAGCCAACTCGTTATAAGCAAGCATTAATCAACATTTATAGTCAGACTAAAATGAATGACATACATGTGATAGGTAGGATAAGAAGGGTGCATACATATACGCTCATATAAAAAAATAGTCAAGGTCGATAAGGGAATAATTAATAAGATCAAAATATGACTTATAACGTTATAGATGAATTGGCTTGTCCAGAAACTAGAATAAGCTATGTAGGTGTAATATAGTACACGACGTTACACTACTCTCCACAAGGTACATGTCTTAAAGATTCGATAAATAATGTAACAATATCGAATGGTAACTAATGGTTTCGAGTGCAAAATATTATGATGTTTGCTATTTATATCGACATAAATAGTATGTGACTCTAGTCAGGAATAAAATGTCTGGCAGCAGAAAGTCGAGAAGATCGAGAAGGAAAGATTTGGAACAGAAAGTAAATGGTATAGAAATGAAGGAACAGTAAAGTCTGAGACGATTGACTGACCTTTGCAAAAGAACAGTCAAGTTTGAGATAACTGATTGACATTTTTCAAATTAAGTGTTTACTATATGCTTCTAATATATTCGATTGTCCCCAGTAGTGTTCTCGTTCACTACAATACTAAGAAGACTGAGTTATTGACTGAAATCCTCATTGGAATTTTTATTAGTAAACAAGAAAACTAGTTATCAAAAAACGTTTTTCTATAGTAAAATATTATATAGGTAAGATCATGAGTCATTTGAAGCTAGACCACCATGACAAACCTGGAAGCACTGGACGGACGTTTTGTCCCATTGAGAGACTCCTAAGCAGTGCGCATACACGATCCCACCTAGTGGGATCCGAACCCAGGACCTACCAGTCTCGCGCCAGAGCACTTAATCGATAGACCACTGAGCCGGCATCCGGCGGTGTTAATGTCTAACCTCAACCGACCCACGAAATTGAGCGATCAACTTCCATTATACTGGATAGATACCTGTCCTTACCTGACATAGATTAGCTCCACTGACCACGACCTACATAAAATTACAAAAATCTCCACAAAACCCCCTTGTTATATAGTAAAATAATTGGTATATAGAATCTCAGAACAATAAGAATAAGTATGATCAGATGTTAACTAACAATGTGTAGGCAACGAATGCTGGAGATCATTCACACTTTAATGAAACAAGAACTTCCTAGGTAGTTTCGATTCTTATTCGTCAGTGTTGGATAACTGATTTGCGAAAATAAGTTCGCAAATATCTGATTGATGAGTTTTTTGAATATGTAAAAATTCAGAATGGGGTCTCCATCATGCTTAAGTAAAATTTAGTTCAAAACTGTGGAAGATAATTTTTTTGTAACATGTAGACCTATTGTTCAATGTTAATATATTGCCTGTAAATTAAGGTTATATTGAGACAATACGCACAGTACGCACATATGCCAATCCTAAATATCAATAGGAAGATTCAAACAAACAATACTAAATGAATTTAAACTTCACTTCATTGAACAGGCAAGTAACTATCACAACTCAGTATCTGAGTGGATAACGCGACGGCGTTTTAAACGAACTCTAATGGGTTCGAGTTCCAAAGTGAACATCAACTATGAGGTGAAGGTACATTCAGCTGACAAGTCTCAAATGGGACGAAACGCATTTCGTACTGGATTCCACTGCTAGCCACTATCTATCCTTACCCTTTTTATTGTTTTCAATCTTCTTAATTCATAGTTTTGAATTCATTGTTCACCCTATTTTACACTTGTCAAAAGTATTATTATCCTTTGAATAACTGAATTCAGCTTATAGTCTTTCTTGAAATTCTCCATCGTTCAGTAATATTTTTTGACACATAATATGAATCATTAATTTTCAACTGAGTGATATATGTATGACGGATTCTTTGTTAACTATAAAAATTATGAGTTTGATCCCTTTTGAATTGGTTAATGAAAATAGTTAAGAAGTCACATACTAAAATAACGTACTTATCAAAACTTTCCTAGCTTTTAATAGTTCTATGTAGTACATGTATCCATTATCAGAGACATATATTTCGTTGCACTGTCTTTAATCCTTGTTCGATGACACTTTAGATGCCCTATATTTTACTCCGATTAAATTGTATGCTGAATGTCATCGACATACAGATGTTGGCTATCCTCGTATATTTCATGAACTCAAATGTCGTTGGCGGATAACGGAATTAAGTAAATAAAATAGAAGTATGGATTTTTTAGTACATACATTTTGTATAATCACTGACATCGACAGGAAATGAGTGAAATAAAGCGACTAGAAAAGAGCGAAGCGAAATGAAGTATAGTGGAGAAGGCGTGTGAGCAAACTCCATTTAATCAAGTATAAATCAATATTTATAGTCACACAAAATTAACCTACAGACATGTGATGAACAGGATAAGAAGTGAACACACACATATATACGCTCATATAATAACGGTCAAGGTTGATAAGTGAGTAGTTAACGTGGTCAAAACGTGACTCAAGAAGAATGAATGAACAAGCCTGTCCGGAAGTTATGTCGGCTTAACACAGTAACCAACACAACAATACGAAAGGTTGCATTCTTTAATATAGCAAAAATTTATTAACAGAAATAATTAAAATTTAATAAACCATTTTAAGGTTTTAATTGAATATTAATACTTATGAATTGGATATACATTGCGGAAATCACCAAACGAAGCAAGCGCTTACTTAGAATTCTGAAGGGAAAAGTAAAACAGAAATACCAAATAACACAATGCTTCTGGAATAGGAAGCAGACATGAAAAAGTTAAATATCAACTGGAAAGTACCAGAAAGGATTGCCCAGTACAGTGTTGGATGAATAATGCTGATGGTGCAGCCTATACTCATTAACAAGTTGTGACAGGCGTAAGTACTTGTCCATTGAATAGATTTTAAACGACGTTTTACTGTAAGCACTCAACATTGATTAGGTTCTTTTAAACGTATTATTTTCAATCAGAACTTCCCATTTTAACATTTAGAAAGGGATTAATACAGTGAACACTTATTTACACATGGTAGTTTTCTCAGTAGAGGTAAGAGAATTTTTCATTTAAAGCAGAGACCACTTTCAATTGTATGATTCAACTGAATAGATTCTATAAAATGAGAAAGAAGTTAGTGGGAAAAAAATACTGAAAACACATTATGCTGCTTTTTCAAGTGTGAGTAGATAAATCGTGAGAAACGTTAATTGGAGAAAAGGTATTAGTCTATTACAGTTGACTAGTTCTATTATTCAATTAAGAAACTTCATTTTAACATAATGAATAAAATTTTATATAGTTGAAATCATGAATCAATTGAAACTAGACCTTGCGAGACTGATAGGCCCTTGGTTGGAATCTCGCGAGAGCGGGTTCGTGGATTCGCACTGTTGAGGAGTCCCACGATAGAACGAAATGGCCGTTCAGTGCTTCCAGGTTTTCTAGAGTGGTCTAGCTTCAATTGACTCATGATTTCAACTATATAAAATTACTTAAATCTCCACAAAACCCTTCTTCTGACAATGATGAATAACACTTTAATATGATCGGAAGTTAAAAGTAAGACATATGATGCTTGAAATCTTAGTTAAAACAAAACTAGATGTATTCAAATATTACACAGAAAAATCGATGTCAAGTTTCTGATTTCATCCATATTCATCTGATTTCATTTCCATTACAAGTATAAGTTGACTACAATCTCAATAGTTGAAGCACACTCTACTCTGATCTAATGTACTGCTTATAATGAGGGAGGGGATAAAATCTAATAATAAACAATTAGAGGATAGGCTTCAACTCATCATGATTGATAGTTCCGTAAATCCTGATGAGATTTTCAAATAACTGAGACAAACTCTTTAACACAACTAAAATCTGTAACTTAATACATGAGGTATTTGAAATTTTAGTTTAATCAAAACTAGATGTATTCAACTATCACACAGAAACATTGATGTCTAGTTTCTGATTCTATCCAGATTCATTTGATTTCATTTCCATTACAAGCTTCAGTCAATCATATGCGATATCAACAATGATTAAATATTAATATATCAAGTGTTCATCATCAATTGATCAATACGAAGAACATAGTGAACAGTTGAGATGTTTACAAATACAATAGAATTTAATGGATTTAGAAATATGGTTATTTTCATTGTGTAACTTACGTGGATTCTCATTACTGGATAGGTAAGTATTTCCCATGAATTCACTAAATGTCTCTAGTATAAATATGATTATAAAAGAATAAAAGAATATATACCGAAATTGAAAGAATATTGTATAAGGTCTGTGATGAACTACTGTCGATTTGTATTTTAGGAATGGTAATGGAATTCGACCAATCTGTAGTTGTTTCATTTGTACGAATTCGACTTCTCTATTAGAATTGATTGGTATCATAGTGTGTAGTGGCGTGCTTCGTTAATCGATCGTCTCGATAACCGTTATTATATCAATGTGAACGGTGTATAATATCAAAAGACAAAGGGAAGCGGCAACTACATTTTTGTTGACAAATAACATGGGCTAGAAGGCAGTGAGCACATGAGCAAATGTTAACGAGCGAAGTAAAAATGACATGCATGGGAGATGGCTGGTAAGCCAACTCGCTATTAGCAAGCAATAATCAACATTTATAGTCAGACGAAAATGAGTGACAGACATACGATGAATAAGATACGAAGTGTACACATATACGCTCATATAAAAGTATAGTCAAGGTTAATAAGCAAATGATTAACAATGTCAAAATATTACTCATAATGGATAGGCGAATTGACTTGGCCAGCAACTAAAATAAAGTATATGGGCTTAACATATACTGATACTACAAGTGTAACAAAATTTGTTTGGATTTCATGTGATAATGCATAAATATATGTTTTGATTCTGTTATAACTGTAGCACATTATATTTTGACGTTCAATTGGGAGCAGGAGCGACCTAAAACAACAACACAAGAGTCTGGACCGATAAGTACCTCTGAAGTGAAAACACGGTGTAATGGCATATAAGAGATATTTTTGAAAGTGAAAGACGTGGTTCGATTACAAAAAGGGAAACTTATTAAGAAATAGTTTTACTCGTTGTTCTTCAGGTTCAGATCGCCTAGGGCTTGTTTTTTTCTTCCAGTGCATTTACTCTTTGTTGCCCTGCAATAAGAAAAACAAACTCACATTAGTGACGTTGCATGGAATGATTTTTAATACCGTTGCATATCCTCATAAGAATAATGAATGGTACTTTTGGGATCCATTTATGGACCAATACTATGCGTATATTTTTATTGTGTGATTGTTAATTTACTAAACTATTCATATTCATATCCCTCTTATTATAAACGCTATTTTGACCTATGAACTATTGTTATACGATATACCGGCCTTGAGTTATACTCTGCCTATCAATTACTATCTCTTTTATTCACAGCCATATGTGGCTAAAGATTGTACAAATGTTGTTTCCTATGTTATGGTACGATGTGGTCTGTCTGGTTGGTATATAAACCCAGTGTGTTTGAAACAAATGAGGCGAGACTATAATTTATGGACGACCTTTGAGCGAATCAGTATAGAGTAAAAATATATTATACAAAACCAAATAATTAAAGTGGATACACTTCTTTTATATGGTCCAAAAACTTGTCAATGTTAGAAAAAGGTTCAAAGGTTTTAAAATCGTAATGCATAAGGTAGAGGAACTCATCCATATGGCTCCATAATAGTTGGTCTCTGGAACCATGATATGGTCACAAAAACTCTCTCAGCCTCGACCACATAGTTTCATTATTGTTTCTGTGTACTTTGGTTGTGTAAGTGTATCATTTTTATTATGGATATGTCCCCACGATACTCATACCACTGAACAGCCGAAGCATCAGTAACATCTGCGATTATCGCAGCCAATGTTACTGGTGCTTTTATTATACAGTTCGCGGCAATTATTATGATATGCCTTAGTCTCAATCTGAATCGAGCGATAAAGGTTCCTATTCTAGCAAAAGTCTTCCTTGAACATATATTACATCGAAGGACAACATCACGATGATCTGCACAAGGTATGCAAGTCACTTAACTACCACAATCACAAATAAAGCAACTTCTTAGTAGTCCCGTTTGTTGTATCCGCTTAATTGTCAAGTCTTTTCTAAAATTCTCTGTAAACCGATCGTACATGAGCATCAGGTACTGAAATCGGTGCCGCGACCTTGAGATCCCTCAAACGTTTCTGATTGGCAAGTCCATAAATTACAGTCTCGCCACAAATGATTCATACCTTAGAGGCTGATAGTGGTGTTCTTGACTTAACTAGTTGGGTTGAGCAGAAAGCAGGACTGCTCGCACGGAATTTATGCGTTATTGGTCTGATCAATAAATCACTTTTCTCTAATGGGCGGTATTATCACTTTATACATTAACAGGGCACATTGGCCACAGTGCCACAGGCCACAGATTCATGCCTTAAAGTGGTTGAGAATGACTGTTTCGACATAGTTTTCATAACTATTGAATGTAACAATTCAAGAATATGTAAGATAATATTATCTCGAAAGATATAGTGAGTTCAAAAAGATGAAAGTAAGCGTGTGTTTGTTAATTATAAAGATTTTGTTTGGGTTGTATGGTATTCTGTGTGGTCTTGTAGTAATGTCAGTAAAGGCGTTATACGATCTTGCACTCAATCACTTGTCCTATTATCGATTGGCTCATATATATATTGTCAATGGAACCGGTGATAATATAAGTACTAATTAATTCATCGATTCATGAATAACAACAAAGATCTTCGAATTCATTGATTCTCGAACTTCTTCTAACGAAATGCTGAATCAGTATATGGTAGTAAAAAACAGATTAGTGCTGTATATTGGGGTATAACATCAAGACTCAAAACTAATACAAGAGTATACCCAAAAGGCTTGACAACACAACAAAAAACATCAGAGAGTTCTAATATATACATAATACAGTCATATTCGTAACAAAACCAAAAAAGTGGTATAACAATTATTGATTAATATGGTTTATTAAAAAAGTGATGGTAACAATCGATCATAACTTCTTAAGAGAACTCACCGTGTCAGACCACAATTCATTTCAGTCTCATTTTACTGAAAATGACTATAACAAATATCACACTATCAGGCGAATATTTAAATGCGTTTCATACTAATCGTATGTTGTTATCACATATGGTCTGATATTTCTAGATGTCATTAATAATAATAATGAAAATGGCACATCAGGAATTCATGGCAAACAAAAGTGTTTTCAGACGTAATACAATGAAGTGTGAATGAGTTCAACAAGCTCTGTCAAGTGTTGTGTCCTGTGTCTGTGAATAGACACAACATCATATCACAATGGACATTGGGATGAAACATTATCATCATCATCATCATCATCATCATCATCATCATCATCATCATCATCATCATCATCATCATCATCATCATCATCATCATCATCATCATCATCATCATCATCATCATCATCATCATCATCATCATCATCATCATCACAGTTATAAAATATTATTGTTTAATTGTCGATCGTAAGTTGTTATGAAGACAACCATTTTTATTGACAGTGGTATTAGTGATATGATTGAACAGAGTTGCGTAGATTGTTGAGTTTCCATAGTGTATATTACGAGTTGATTTTGATTATGCATACATTGAAGAGTGGGAAACGCTGAATCACTAAAGTGTTCGTGAATGTTCAATGACACTGAATATCCCCTTATTGAGGAATATACAATTCTACAGAAGTGTGTTGTTCACAGCATCCTAAATTTTCTTCGAATCCCATTCATCATTTGATTGACATATCAGAACTTTGAATCTATTTAACTATGATTTGTTAAAATAGCTTCAAATAATTTATTGTGAACATAAGTATATGATGTGAAGTATCACATTTAAAGGTTAAAATGTGATTATTGAATTGATACATACTTTTGAACAGTACATAAGGAGTATTTGCACATGCACAGAATCTAGATAAATACTTGTAACCGGCTGCCAGTTGAAGAGGAAATTAGGAAAAGACGTTGGAAGTGGATCGGACATACATTGAGGAAATCGCCAAACTGCATCACGAGGCAATCCCTAACTTAGAATCCTGAAGGGAAGCGGAAAAGAGGAAGGTCAAAGAACACATTACGTCGGGAAATAGAAGCAGATATGAAGAGGATGAATGTTAACTGGAATGAAGGACTGCCCAGGACAGGGTTGGATGAAGAATGCTGTTGGTCGGCCTATGCTCCTCCAAGAGGGGCAACAGGCGTAAGTAAGTAAGTAAGCACTGATAGAAAATATGAATACCTTTAATAATAACCGTTTTTAGTTTGATTACATGTCATATAATCTTTGATAGAATGAATATTTAACAGAACAAGCTCCCGATAATGTTCACTTAAAATGAATGTGACATTGGCACATTGTCTGACTAATATTGAGGATTTTTGAAAAGATAAATTAATTTTCCTTCATCATTTAAAAATCAAACGTCCAATAAATAAAGATTCAATATAAGTAATTTAAACATTACAAGTTCGTTATCTTGGCATAACTAATTATCGTTTAATTCATTCATTACAATGTTTGCTATTTTCATTAAAATATTTAAGATATTAGAGAAACCATTAGTTTCCCGTAGTTTACACCACTAACAGAACATAGTTAAACAACCACTGATAAGCAATAGGTAACCGACAGATATTTCATTTTAGTTAAGCACAAGTCAGTAGATCTTGAACTCGTTCAGTAGTATGGTGGTGAATATTAGCTACAGATAGGTGTTGTACAAGAATGAAACAATAATCTAGTGCATACGGGATTCCAACAATTGTCCAAGTTGCATCAGCCTGTAATGCTAACTGTGAAAATTCAACAATCGTCACAAACCACTTTATACTACTACCTCCTCACATCTTCCATTCTGATAGGATAGAACTGTGAATACCACATTACTTCGCTCTCCAGATTATATGAAATATAGTATGACAGTGGTTTGTTAAATATATCAACAATATATATGTGCAATTCACATGTGTGTGAAATAAACTAAATTCCATTTTATTTATGACACTCCAGACAACATTTTGGTTTGATTTGGAACAGTTATAGTAATCACAGAAATGTAAAACATCACTCATTCATATTTGATTTACGTAATGGCATTCACATAGAACACATTAAATAATAAGTTGTACACACCATCTTCATTGAACTGATGCAGAGAGTGAGATTAGAACTGGAATAAATTAGCCTCATGTAATGTGGAATTATTACCGAGATATTCGTGTCATGGTTCACCTCTAATATGTGTGATATGGTTACAACTCACCAATCAATGCAACGTTTTCCATTTCCGTTAGTTTCGATTAAGTTGCACCGATCGATTGCTGTGTGACCGCCAGTCTTTTAGTTTCAATTGGTTAGATGGATTTGAATATAAACGCTGACTTTAGGTTGCCTCCTAATTGGTACTCATCAGAATCATATAATCTGTCATTACTAAGTAATCAGTTACATCAATTATATCAATCACACTCGAGGTTGGTCACGGTTGATGTATTTTAGAGCTGCAGTCTTGGAATGTGAAAATGGGCGATTTCTGTCTGAATGACAAGGAGCTCCATTTGCCTTATTACTGGAGATATGTCATTTTATTTGTAACCCACATCTTGGCTTTCGCCCAGGCAAATGAAAATCACTTGACACCTTAACAAGTTGGTTTGTACTGTCTCTATCTGAATACTGTTGAAAAGTATGACAAATGCACAAATTGTGACGGGTTTATTTTGTCTCACATGAATTAATTTAAATACACATAGTTTTTGATGAGGAATTAATGTATCTATAGGATACATGTAATTAGACAGTTCCATCTAATATTATCTATTCAAACAGGGTATTCTCGGAGATTGATTTGATTTTAAATGTACCATCGTCGTTTCTGAATATCATCGGAAATGTATGAACTTTTAGTTTCTCATAACCTGTTCACATCTCTTGATTGTGCAATAGAGTAAATTTATCTCAACCCTTCTTGTGATTCAGTCATAAGTGAGGATTTATTGGAATTTATTCAGAACGCGATGTTTCATTAAACACTGAAAATATTTTGCTCAGGTGAAAGAATATGTTAAAACTACTTTTCTGAGTTGGATAGCATAATCTAGACAACATCATCAGAACAAGCTTTAGACAGAAGCGAGGTGTTTGAATTTTTCCATATATGAATGATTGCTTATCTTCCTGATGTGGATCTTGCTCGGTTATTATTAATCTTGTATTATACTGATCTCGATCGCCTTCTCTAACCTGATTTCTGTTTCTATATCATTGGGCCATATTTGTCACCCATATGTGATAAGATTCGGGAAACTCCTAGTGGTATTATTTCTAAACACACGATCATGGAAGCTGAACATGAGATAACTAAAAAACTTCTTATTCAACATTGAACACAGAAAGAAGGTCAAAAAATGGTGAACGTGGGAAGGATTGATCGGTATGGCATGGCTCAGCCATTCAGGCCTAGTCACCTCAAGATTTTTTGATTTTATGTTGAATATATTACTCTTTACCCAGCCTAAAATGTGTTCTTCAGATGTGTAAGACGTTGATTGTCACGATAGGATGAGTCAGCTCAGACTATGATGTGACGTCCACGTACGATCTTATAGATAACGTAGTCATATCATAACATATCTACTAAATCGGGATTAGATTTATTACTATAATATCAAAGATAAATGTACTAATACCGAACTAGACCGTAATTTAGTAAACTCACTTCTATCTGTAGTTTAAGCTGATGATGTTATCCAAAAGTATAATGAAAGTTTCCTTTCTAAATCATCTAACTTAATGAACCAAATTTTACCGAAATGCATGCATTCCTAATAAAACTTTGTTCATAAATGTTCAAATAATCATGAAGAAAGCACTAGTGTTTTATATTGCCATTTAAAGTCTAATTCCAGGTGAAAATGAAATGCTACCGGAAGTATGTACTGACTGTTTTATAGGTTACATGCATTATGTCGAAATGTTATTATTTCTTTGGAAAGCCCATGAATTCACTGTGTATTGCTTATTTGAATCTACCCATTGATGTTTATGTCTGAGATCGATCAGTATCTTATTAGCATATGTGCATACTGTGCGTATTGCCCTGATATTGCCTTAATTCACAAGCATTATAAGCTAAGATGGTTAGCGGCTAGCAGGAGAATCCAGGGAGCGCGTTTCTTCCTATTTGAGACTCGTCAGCTGGATGTACCTGCATCTCAGAGTTGATGTTCACTCTAGAACTCAAATGCAGTACCGTTCGCTTTAAACGCTATCCCGTTATCAACTTACCTACTGAGTCTTGATAGTCACTAGCTAAATGGATAACGTAATGGCGTTTTAAGCAAATGGTGGTGGGTTCGAGTTCCAGAGTGAACATCAACTCCGAGATTCAAGTACATCCATCTGACGAGTCTCACATAGGTCGAAACGGGCGTCGTACTGGATCCACTGCTAGCAACTATACATCTTTGTTTAAGGATTTGTGGGTTTTTAGTTAACATTTTCACATAGATCTGACACCAGGTAGCATACGAATGAATAAATTCCGAGTGAAATAAGAGAGACGTTCTCGAATTATTTCGTCAATAAAATCTAGTGTTACTGGGTTAAGGCATATCGATTTTATTTTTAATTTATCGGAACAGAATTGAACATTTTTTTGTCCTACTCTTTTTACCCGAGAATCACTTTCCGCTTGTTACCAACTGTTGTTCATATCGACTATACTATCCAGCTGCGTAGACTTCTTCGTCTTTTCCAGAGCTACGTTATTATGTACGACTTTCCTATTGCTCTTTGTGTTGTATTTCAGGTTCTTGCATATGTGTATTTGAATATTGAAACGTACATATATTAAAATGCCATTGCTGTACTATCCTTCTTCTTATGTATTTGTTTTGTCTTTGTAATAGCAAGAATAAGTCATTTGAAAAGTTTGAATTAACCAATTAAGTTCAAAGAATTTAGTGTATTCGGTGCTTTTTCTTAAATGTGAAGATCCCTTATTATTAGTGTTATTATTATTAATCTTACAATAAGTAATTCTGAGTACGAGGTATTTCAACAGGTTTCTTTTGCCAAAAAAAAGAAAGAAAGAAGGCAAAAAGGATCTAAATCTGTACAACTATTCAATTAGAAACATGTTTAAGAATATAGTTTATTGACTAGGTCAACTCTAACAACCTGTTCGTCACAGAGTATGTTTGCTAGATAAGGGATTATAGAACTTTTATACTTTTACTTGCGTGCATGCATTTTAACGTATTGACTTCTCGTTCTACCAGAAGATATAAAAGGAGAAAGATATGAATGAAGTGGATGATTAGTATCTGATAACAGATGACAGGAGTTTGCAAGATTTTAGATGTTTATCCACAACCATATTAATAATGATCTCAAATGATTCACCGCACGCATTGCAAACTGCCTTCAACACACTTCGCAA